GCCTTTCATGTCTCTGTAGATCATTTCACGGCAAGGCATGCTAGCTTTATTTATATAGCGCATTTCGTACACAAGGTAACGCAAAGACAAAAGAGTTAAAGCCAAATAAAAGAGAAGTAAAGAAATAAAAAGTTTCAATTGTGTAAGTTGGCCTTTTTCATGAATATGAACAAAGAGATGCGATCGTATGGTATGAACATCGCAAATATGCCGGTGCATGTCTCGGGCAATTTTTTTCCCCCTGTGGATTATTTCCAGTCGCTCTGTTAACATCTCAAATCTATTTTTTTACATCACTGCTACAATTTGTGAGTACATTTTTGAGTTGTTCTTTACCCTCCTCTAAGGTTAAGACCAGGGGATATTGTTAAGATTTGACAAGTGTGAGCATGTGAAGCCATTTGAAAGTCTTTTGTACGGTGGCCGACAGGGGCAGACACGCTGCAAATAGCCGTCTGCTGCAAACACAGAAATGCTGGGGGGAAAAAAAGATGGAAACAATAAAAGACAAACACACACTACTGCAAAACAGAAACGCTGCACACATGAATGATGCAAAAAAAAAAAAAAACATAAAAGCAGAAAAACAACAAAGAAAGCAAGAAATTCTGCAAACACAGCAAAAGAGTGAAAGCAAATATTACAAAAAAAAAAACACACCCAAGATGCTGCATACATCTAATACACATCAACTCAAAAACGGCGGCAAGAAAAAAATTATGCAAGTTCATTCTCCTAAACGAAAGTTTCCCATGCCACTAGAGGGGCCACCGTGGGCCCAGTCCACACCAAACGCATCAAAGCCATTGACATGAACCCATAAATAATAATAATAATAATAATAATACATACCCAGATTGCTGAATTAACAACTGATGTTTTGTCATAAAAAAAAAAAATAAATAAATAAATAGTACGGAGTACATGTACACAAATAGACGATATGAGGCAAAATGCACGGAGACAGGACACACAAACGCACACATACACAGGCCATGAGGAGACTGTCAGATTACAGCCGTGTAATTGAATGGTAAGGGAGCAGACAACACCTCCAGCACAGCCGGACTCTCGAGGCGGCCGCTGCCATAACAGAGCTCAGGGGAAATTCGGGGTCCCACTTAATAGTGAATTGGAGATGGGACATAGTGTGTGCGCGTGCAGGTGGACGCGCGCATGTGCGTTTGCCAGATGCCAGGAAAAAAGGGAGAGCGCCCTTGGCAAGTCAAAATGGCCCCTAAAAATGTGGCCATTTGAGAAAGTGTTTGACAGCGGAAAAACACAAAAAGAGACACGACACAAAAGAATGATAGAAATAAAAGACTGGCAGAAAAACAAAGAGATGGATAGAGGGAGGGAGGGAGAGCGGGTACACAGGCGAAACGAGAGGCAGAGAAATGGAACACGGCAGATAGCGCGATGGAGATGCACGACCTCGAAATGAGAATAAAAACGAAAAGAAAGTGGAGGAGGGAAGATGAAAAGGAGCCACGGTGAAAGTAATTAACATTCATGGTTGTTTCAAATGGATCATTTGAAACCCCAATTTGAAACCGAATCCTTTGTAACAACCCGAACTTTAAAATTTGACCCCTGGTGAAATCCCTGCAACATTGGCTTCAAACACTAACTTGAAACACCTACCCTGGTTTGAAACTCCAACTTGGAACCTTCACCATGAGTTTAAAACCCAAGTATTGGTTTGAAACCCTAATTTGGAGGGTTGAAACGTGTTTCAACCCCTAAATTGAATCAAAGTCTTCATTTTAACCGTTAATAACACTTGAAAACTGAATGGGAAACCCCAACTTGAAATCCTGTCCTCAATTTGAAACCTTAATTTTGTGTTCGAAACCCTCATTTAAAGCTCCAGTCCCGGTTTGCAAATCCTAATTGGAAATCCTAACCACGTCTCGAAAACCTCCATGTTCTTAATCCGAATATTGTCTTGAAACCCTAATTTGAAATGCTAAACCTTGTCAGAAACATGCAAACTGCACACAGCAAGACCGGGGCCCGGACTCGAACCTATCACCTCTGCACTGTGAGGCACACGTGCTAATTTGTCATCCGCCACACCGCACTACCACAAAATGTATCGCGAGGAATTAAAGTAGAAGGTCTACCGGGTATAAAGTTCCTCCTGAATATGATATGCGGACACGTGGATGTCATCAAGCCCGTGAAGTGGAAATAATAAAGAATTAGGATTGTCTCCAAAGACGAGGAGGAATTAATCCCAAAATGAATTATGAAGGGAGGTAGAGAGGAAAAAGACAGGGAGGGAGAAGAGGGGGGGAGACCAAAAAAAAAAAATCAACATCAGCTATTTCCTTTTCCACCGCTTGAAGGCAGATTGGGGGGCGGTTTGTGCGAATGGTGTGAATGCTAAAAAAATTAAATTAATAACAAAAGGGAAAACGCACACAGGAACAGAAGTGGTAGGGAGGTGGAGAGAGAAAGAGACAAATGAGGGAGGGGACTGTTGCTGCCAGATTGCACCACATTATTGCCCCCCCCCCCTTTTTGGGGAAGGGCTGGCCGAGCCCATTGTCATAAATGCCACTTGCACCACTTGCAAATTGCGCAACGGAATAATACAGCGTGCATATGGAAGGGGGGGGTGCAAAAAAGAAGGGAGTGATAATTAAGACTTAGGGGGTGAATGACAAGAGCCTCAAAGCCGTTTGTTGAAGATGGAACACGGCATCTCCTGTAACGCTCTCTGAGAAACAGAAGGGCTCCGTGTTACAAAACATTACCCACACAGCTGTTGGCTTCATGTCAATGGGGCATTAGCCCCACCGGCTTATGATGCCCCCACATCCTGATTCGCTTTGGTCGCCTCACACCATGGTGAGAAAAAAATGGTGTGTTGAATTTGCTCTATTTTATTTTATCAAGTCACTTCAGACAGCAAAATCATCTGGAAATCGATGCTTTTTTTAAAAGTCGTATCTGTATCTGGATCCAGTCGATTTAATTTGGTGCAACCACTTTTGCTCTTCCCAGTAGGACTTGGTCCATATCTCCCACAAAGAGTATTGCTGTCCTTCGATTTTGTTTCCTGCTCAATTGTTGCCAAGGGGAGTTCAAGGGGCTCAAGCATGGTCGCCCCATGGAGTGAACCAGGGAGGGATGGGAAAATCCGAAATAATGCTGATGATATATATATATATATGAATGAAAACTGGCATCCGCCTACTGGAAAAAAATGACAAAGATGAAGTGTGCATACACGCAACTAGGGAGTGAAAAAAATAAAAATCACGGACTCGGATGGAGCCGGGCTATGTTTTGATCGGGAGTTTGGGCTCGCCGGAGCTCAGGGCCGGACTGTAAAGCAGGGGAATTGAATCTTGTTGTCTTTACCTGGTATGAACTGACACATAGTTTGTACGCTCAAACCAGTCCGCAAGCTATTGTGCTCAGTAATCACCCGTAACCGCTGTTTTTGGTTCTCTAGCTCAAGTCAGGCATCTACTTGTTAAATCAAGATGCTTGTTTCCTGTGCTCTCCGGGGAGGAACTGCCCAACAAGCCTAACGACGCAAAACGTGCGCAGTCCATAGCTCGACATTAATTGCCATGCACAACATTCACATTCCGTTTCTTACACTGCAGGGGTGAATCTCCGCACAGCCTCAGGCCAAACCCGCCGACCTCCTCTGGGGTCGTGTCCCTGAGCTCGATAAAAGAGTGCTTGATTAACACAACTCCCCTGGTAATTGCTCCTTTTGTGCGTGAATCGAACTGCCGCACTTCCTTCGATGGTCCACGGGTCGTGCCCGCCAAGTTAGTTACCAGAGACCTCGTTGACTCTGGTGTTGCTACTCTTCTTACTCTACAAAACATCCACAGCCAAGTGTGTTTATGGGTCTCGTAGTCACTTTAAGAGTGCAAAGAAAGGTAGATCACTAAAAAAACAAGAGCTCCTCTTATTGGCCGATTGTGAAATTACACTTCTTCTACACTTGCAGCTGGCTCTGGTTTAGAAAAATTAAATAAATAAATGAATAAATAAATAAATAAAAAGCAATAGGGGAGAAAGTACTAAGGCCAAAACGGTCGGGGCAGAACTTGCAGGGATCATAGTGGCCGTCATCTGCTTATTATACAACAACATAAGCACAACGAGCCAACTTGTTACATTCACAACACCACAAAATCACAAGTTTGGGCACATGGAGTCAAACTCATCTGACAACACGACCCTTGAGAATAAAGATGCTAGGATTTTGAAAACATGCACTATAAGTATGCGTGTATATTGACTGTTACATCTCGCTAACAACCCAGGCTAGACTTCGCTCCTCCTCCATAATGAAAAGATGTTAGTCTCAAGTCAAGGCGTATCACTTTTATACTACCTTGACGTCAGTTAACACTTCACTCTTAGCTAGTGCTTTGGCGCCATCTTGTGGCATTTTAAGAATGTTATACAAATACAGTAACACAAAATCTCAAGTTGATGACACGTTCCACAGTATAAAACTTCGATTCGTCAATCGCGAAATGCAAAAAGGTAGGGCTTCACTCTAACAATACATCAAAAGTGGAGTTTGTGTAAAGGAATGTGTTCATGTGCCACATACACACTGTGCAGTGCATGAAGTGATGCCTCCGTTACTGAAAGCACTTAAATGCTGCCATTTTGTTTTCCCACACTCTGGGCTATCACCAAACGCGACCGAGGGAAAATATATTTTTCACCAAAACAAAGTTATGTATGACACCAATGTGACGAGGAGGAAAAAGGATGTTTTACAAGAATAAAGTTAGTTACACAAAAAAAAAAAAAAAAACACAAAATCATACTGATATAGGGTGATTACTATTGCGGAAGGATGTTTACATTGTGACCTTATTCATCTCGTTTTATAGGACACATTTGACTCTTTCTGTGCTGATGGAGTGTTCCCTTCTGCTGAAAGATGGTTACTGCCCATCATCCTTTTGTAGGTCAAGTTCTCAAAGGACAGGAGAGTTTATATAAAACTACAAAATCAGAATTTTATTTTCTTAAACCCACTTCACATCACTGACCATCTTCTTTAGTTTCCACACTGGAGACAAGCGGCAAGAGAATTAAAAAAAACAAAACCAAAAAAAAAAAAACAAGCACCAGTTCTTTGCTGGATATATTTCATCCATATTTACAGCCCTTCTCTGTACAGACATACATAGTTCAGAATATGACAATGTACTTATATTTCCTTTTCCCTCCAGGATGCAAAGGACATGTCGTTTTAGGCAAGGGTTAAGTGCAATGTCTCATACAATGTAGAGAAAATGGCTGCCCACAAATTATCGACATACAATAAATTATAAACTGAGAAACCAAATTATCTATACAGGGTTATAATTTGCTAATATGTGCAGTTAATACATCCAATTTGTTTCGTCAGGACTCGCGGAACATATTTTGTAGTATTTTCTCAAGTTGATTTTGACAGGACAAAGTAATGCCCACAAAAGTAACATATCAATCATGGAAAATGAATACATTACTGTAAGGTGCTGTTTAGTTACACAATCTTGTCATTCATTCATTTGGTTGGGAACTCAGTAGATCTTTTGATGTCAAAATTAGCTGACATTTTTCATTTTACCAACAACTTGGTAAAGTTGTGCTCAATAGACAATAGTTTTGCGTAATAAATGTACTGCTCAAACAATGGACAGAAAAATCAAATTCCAGTATAATAGATTTATCTGCCCTAGAGAATGCCTGCTATGTGTAGGAACTGAGGAACAAATAACCAAAAAACACATTCTTTTTCACTTCAGTATTAAGGACATTTTACCTCGTGCAATGTTTGGCTGCAAGGATTCTTCATGACAAAATAACAAACACTATTGATGAATCTCATCATATCATCTTCATGACAAAATAACAAACACTATTGATGAATCTCATCATATCAAAGTGCCTTTAGTGGATAGTTCAAAACTGCCCTTATTGAATTCTGGCAAACAAATTCCATTGGCCAAGGACCAAATGACAAGAGCTGCGCTTGCCCTTTAAATCACAATTGTATAGACATAATTGGTGCCATTACTCAAACAATATTCAACATGAAAAATAATGTGCGATCATCTCTTGCTCTGGCGGGGAACCGACGATGAGCTATGTATGGCCCGCCAGAATGCCTGATGCGGCTTGCCCTGCAAATCTAAAAACACATAACTACTGTATTTGAAAAAGCCCAATACACAATATTTGTTTTGCATCATATTTTAAAGCTCCTAGGAGGATTAAGGAAAATTAGGAGATAAAACTCCCGTGTGTGTTTACATCCTTTACAGGTGACCCACAAATGAATGTAGCGATCATTGGAATACATATACAGTATAATTGTATATAGAAAATGAAAAAAATATAGCTGGAGATACAATACATGTGCGGCAAGAAAAGAGATGAAGCAGGTTGTAACTGAGGAAAAGCCATGCCAGATTTATTTTTTCCAAACGGTAAACATTTTTACGGTAAAGAGTGTCCGCAAGAGCGTAAGATAGTCCAATGAAAAGAACACAAGAATGTCCTCCCAATAGATCTCAGGTCAACTCGCTTCCTCCAAGACATTCACTTGCTTGATTTTTTTTTTCTTTCCCCCCCCCCGCTGCTCTGCGCACCTCTCACCCACGGCGATGCATGGATCTACTTTTACATGAAGTGAATCCTGTCTTGCAAAAGCCTCCATCAGCCTGATGATGCAGATCTAGGTCCCGATCACGCGCATGATCTCTTTCTGCACCTTGGGCTCCTGTGTGTTAATGTTGGCGTCTCCCACTTGGCCGTCTTCATACCTGTAAATGCAAAAAAAAAACCAACCAAAAAACAAAAACAAACAACTCTTGAGAGGAAAGCCACGCTAGGACAAGGATAACTTGCAAACTCTACACAGGTGATTCAAACCCAAAACCTCATAACTGTCAGACCACTATTGATTACATTGTGGTACACGAAATGGAGAAATATACTGTACTTAGATCCATTAGTCAGCTGGCATTAGCCACACACCCCATGTATTTTTCTTTTCTGACCTCACTTGCATTCAATGCTACAAGGGCCGATGCCGTCTTATTTAGTCGATGAAATACGAAAATTGGTAAGAACTACCATATTTCCTCATATGTTGTGCAGTATCTTCAGTACGTTAGATTTCAGCTTCTACGTGCTGCCGTGTCAGTCTCATCTGCCCACGGCCTCAGTAGTGCTGCCCAATGTAACGTACCTGTAAATTAGCAATGTGACTGTTTCTTTAACCAGTCAGATTTCAAGTTCGACTCCCATCTGGCCCGCAATAATGTCAGTACTTTTCTATCTTCTGATTGGTTGATCAGTGCACAACTGTTGCAGACCAATTTCGACCAACATAACACGTTAACTGCACATGGTGTCATCTTGCCAAATATCAATTCTCAACTGTTGACTTGGTGGCGGCCACTGCGTAGGCTTGAATGTGAATGCTTGGTGTAAGTCAGCTGAGATATGCTCCAGCTCGCTCAAGACTCGAGTGAGAACAAGCACAACAGAAGAGGATTAAGCAGTTTAAAGGCCATTACTCACACAAAAAAGAAGCGAGTACAAACGTGGTCCGACACAGGACACACCCAAATGTTGCCGTGCTTCTGCAGATCCTTGGATGTGATCACTGTTTGAAAAGAGGGAGCGGGCGTACGACATGAGCTGTGGCGTTTCGTTACAGTCAGGTGTCATTCTTTTTGTTTTTACCTTCACAAAGTGCAATGCAGTTCAAGTTTCGACTTTGCAGAAATCTCGATTGGATTGGACGACTCTGCTTGAAATAGCAAAACGGGTGCGTGATAAACACCGATCGGATTGTTTAGCATGAGTCCACGCCTTACCTGTGGTATGGTGTTCATGCGATTGTAACGCTGCACCAGTTCATTTTTGGTGGGCATGCGGTGTTGTCCTTTCCCCATTCCTGCACCAAGTAGAACCCAAACAGCCCTCCTTTAAAGGGTGAATCAATTCAAAAATGTTCTTTGCAATAATCTGTTCTATGCGCCTGCACTCATCGAAACGCGGCACTCTCATTAATATTGAGTTTGTGCAATATGACTTAAGCAGCATTTTGCCATTTGCTGTCAACTTAAAATGACATGACAGTGACAAAGGGCTCAACTTGCTATCATCAAATCACAGCCACAACACAAAGGTTTGACAGTTCAAGGCCCAGCACTTGACATGAACACACAACACATGAATCAACGCCCCCCGCCCCCACCACCACACCCATGCAGTCATCGCTGTAAAGGACTCAAAAGTGGACAGGGTGGAGACGAGAGGACAAAGGGCTGAGAAGTGAGTCATTCCTACCAGAGTATCCAAAAGATATGCTGGAGATGGGGCTGAGATAGATGCCCTTTCCATATGCTGCGCCATGCAGCTTGGTTGGGAAAGAGTGGAGAGAAAGAAGGATCAGTGTGGTGCAGAACAAACACTCAACGATAAGTCAATCGAAGTTCAATTATATTGCTTTTCAGACAAAAAAAAAATTTGCAACTCAAAGCGCTGCACATGGATTCAAATCGACCCCTGCCCCCGCTCGTCCTCAATGGCACAGAAACACAGGTGCATACACACATCGACACATTAATGATTTAAGGTGGAGTACGGAGCACAGTAGTCGAGCGTTTCTATCTATATACAGTTGAATTGTACCACTTGGAAGCAAATATATCTGATTCTTGAACCACACAGTAAAAATCCATTCTAAAGATGAGACATTTAGTGCAATATGCTTCAGAGGCGGACAGAATGAGTGGAGGTGACGATGATATTCAAATTGCGGGGAGGAGGCGATTTGACACCTTAAATGTTTGAGACAAAGGAGGCACAAATTCCAGCCATCAGAACCACAAGAAGGATCATCCAAGTTTAAAAATAAACCTCCTGATATGACTTTGAAGCAAGTTAAATTGATCTTCGGCGCTCCTCCAAAAGCAGTTGTGTCGTGCAAACGGAGACATTTCTTGCCGCATAATTCATCTCTTAATTTGATCACGAACGTCCTTGAAAAGAGTCGGAAAAGTAAATAGAAAAATACACCAGTGGATGGAGCGAGGCACCCAGAGATATTTGATCTTACATTTAATGTTGGAAATTTGGTAAGTAGCAAAACTGCTTTCATGTACTGTTTAATTCACTACGTTCTATGTCCGAATGTACAACGTTTGCAGAAGAAGAGCAACATAGGAAAAAAACAATGGAAAAAGTCAGTCAGTGCCAGTGTATGGTGTGACAATAAAAATACTTATTGGATTGGGAAAACTGCTTTCAACACAGCAAGTGAGTGTCAAACTTCTCATTCCACTGCTGATACCGCGAAATGTTCTTGCTCTGTTGTCGTCCCACCTCTGTTACACGTCTGATACTACTTCCGCCGGTTAATACAGAAGAGCAACATGGAAATATGGAAAATCCTTATTTTTAGAAGTAGTAAAAGGCGTTCACGTATAGCCAGAAGATGGTTCGTCTTTACAAAGCACATTGGGTTTTACTCACTGAGCTGTGATTGACCTCCTCCAATGGAAGCTCTCTTAGAAGTCTTTACTCACCATGGCTCCCCTTATCCTTTGCATTCTGCAACGTCAGACCTAGCCTACACTGCGCTCTAAGTGGTTCACTCCAAGAGGGCGCACAGGCAGCTTCCTAGCTAATGGTACAACAGGTGTGGCATCCCCTGTTGCACACACTGGCTGGGGAGAAATTCTGCCAGTACACCCTGCTGGCTCAAGTGCCGAAAAGGGAAGCTGGCATCTATTAACTGCAAAAATGAATCAGCCGGACAGCCAGCCTGCTCGGTTGCAAAGCAGACTGACGGTCCGAGAAGGCAAACTGCCGGGGATGACGTACCTGCAGTTTGGTATAAGAGGCATTGACTAGTCCATTTCTCAGAACAGAGTGCCAGTTCTCTATATGGGAACCACTAGAGCAAGTGTAGAGGGAGATGAGAGAAAAGAAGCATGTGAATGATGCCCTGAACAAAATGTACACTGCAAAGTTCTTTTTTTTTTCATGTCCATGTTAAGTGATTTGCTTCTCAGCCATGGGAATTATTTTTTGGGGGGGAGGGGGGGCTCACAATGCAAATGACCTGGAAGTATCAGGGAGCCAATAACTACAATAGTCAATCTTAACTATTGTATTTCCTAAAATAACAGCCACCACTCTAATTAAAGCCATACCTCAATGTATCACTCTGAGTGGATTCAGTTGTACATTATATAATTATATATGTACAAAAAAAAACATTTATGGTTATGTGCAGATTTCTCGAAAAAGCAAGAGGGCTCTGTTTGTACTACTCTCTTCAATGAGTAGGCCACAATAAATAAACAATACACAGTATTACATTCCTCATGATATACTTTGTATTACATTCTGATTAAGCGTATTGTTTAAGATATATTTACCTGTATTTCAGTGGAAAAGTCATTAACACATTATTTTAAAATTGTATTTGTAGAAAAAGTGGGTTCCTCTTCAAGAAACGCCATACCGATGACAGTACACTCTGCAGTTGAATAAACAAACACACCTAGCACTATTTGTAGAAATACAGGAATTATCATTTTACACTGGCAAGTAGCTTCGTATTGGTTTGTGCTATATTTAGGGTATTGTTCTCCTTTTAACGGTTCCTTACGGTTCCTTACAGTCGTCTGCGGCCTATCACGGCATTCAATCAATATTTTTACAATTATGCAACTCACGGTAGTATCCTTTCCACTGACGATATCAACAAATAGCTATTGATGACATGCTAGCAGACAATTATTTGATAATACATTTATTTCCTAGCTAGCAGTCTAACATTTGCCTTTGATGCTGACACACTACAGTACATGCGTCCCAGGAAAATGCACCTGCTGAGTGGTGGGGTTTTATTGTTGCTCCATCTAAATCTACTTGACCGTAGCCCACCGGCATGGACTCATGTTGTTATATAACACTAAGAATGTAGGCTGTGCCATGTGATGCCACACAAAAACATTGAACGGATGCAAAATGTGTCACTGACGGGAGGGAGTAAAACAGACTCACTGGAAGGCAAAGGTGCTGCCGTAGAGCTTTTTGGCAGTGCGGAAACGAGCCTCCTTGGCTGGAGGGCTGCTGAGCAGCAGGAACTGGTGGGAAGTGTGCATGAATTTCAGTTGCTATCACGATGAGGATCATGTCGTCACATGAAAGAGGAAACGAAATGAGACAGAATAGAGAAGTGAACCCTCACATGACACAAAGCAAAACCTGTTTGGTCATCGACAGGCGGTGCTTTTGATTTCCTACCCTACTAAGAGGCAACTTGACAATATGAGATCTATTACTGGAAATAATCCTGCAAAAAGACAAAATGAAAACAAAAATAATGCAGCATTAAAATCAAATCAAGTGATTCCTAATCATTGATGATATCAGAAGTAACATGTTGGCGTTTACGAATATAATAATTTACTAAATGTCAGTCAATATCTTTTCATACTTGTAAGACGGACGGATAAGACAGTTGACGTGTGACTTGTAACACTGCTCGTACGGTTAATGAAGGTTCAAGTCAATTAAAGGGAACCATTTGAGCCTTGAACAGATTATGTCTGAAACCTCCGCAGACTCCACCGCATTGCCATTGGCTGTCAGAAGAGTCCATCAAACACACTTAACTGTCCCCGCTGCAAATCCCGCCTTATTATATCTGATTGCTGTGTGCTCATTGAGCGTTTCATTGTGAAACATATACAGAGTACAGGTTTTCAACTTTCTATTCATTTAATGTATCCATCTGCTAATTTGGAGCAAATGTTCCTTTTTTTTTAACATTTTTAACATGTTCTCTCCACCCACCACTGTAACAGGGGATGGGCCAAAGGGTCCAGTTTGTCCATCTGCTTCTTGATCTCTAAATACGAGCCCTGGCAAAAACACACAAGAATGTACTGTGTTCAGCGAATCGAATATAAACCCTTTATTGCCAAGGAGGACAAATGCAAAGGTCGCTTGAGAAGACAGTGAATGCATAGCACTGCAATAAAGCAGAATTTTTTTTCCCGTCTATTTTACAATACGCTACTTATTGTACCTGGGTCATTTCCCGTATAGACATGACGCTGTCCAGCGCTTTTTGCAGCCTCTCGTAATTCTTCTTCTGTGTTCATCGGTGGAGCCCAGCAGCATTTGCGTGTGATGAAAGAGAGGGAGGAACATGCACACATTTAAAAGCAGGACAAAAGGACAAAAATATAGCCCTCATTTACCAATCAAGTTTTACAGTTAAATTGCTCCATCTAGCAGTGCAACTGGTTAATTCAAATCACATCACACTATTGCAAAAATGTCACCAATATTTCCAAAGAGCGACACTGTACTTTGTGGGTTCACAATGAAGAAATAATATTATGCTTTGAATACAAAAAATCCTTCAAAACAATTCGTATTTAATTATTCAAGATTATAATGACCCCCCCACCCCCCGCCAAAAAAACCCCCGGTGTGGCTTGTTAATATCTAAGAACAAGATCAAAATATCCTAACTCATGCCAAGGATCCCGCATCTAAGAAGGATTAAAGAATACATCTGGTTCTCCAAAAGTGAATTTTTGTGTTGCAATGTCATCGCAATGGTTGGCAAAATGTGTCAGGATTATATCTCAATTGACTAAGGGTCACTTCGATAAAACGCTGTATGTACAATAGAAACTTTTCAAATGAGAAAAGAAAAAAAAATTGCCCTTTTTACTCATTTACATCAATTGGCTTCAGAGTAAGCAATAAAAGGCCCCGCCCCCTTCACTATCTCCTCCTCCCCAAGAAAGATGATGTATTTTTAATGTACTAGATATTTATACAACAGTACTTCAACGGATGCTGACCTTTGGGTTGAAGGCCAAAGTCTTGGGGTCATTGGGGTCGACCACCGAGGGGTAGGGCTCAAAGATGATGCTCTTGCGTGGAGACTCGAGTGCAGCGCGGCACATTGCCACAAGGAGATCTACCACCTGCAGAACGGCAAGGAAAATATGATTGCTGTTATTCTCCCTGAGATTGCTATCTTGTCCGCAAATAGTAGCTGGGGGTGCTTATTTACTCAAATGGAGGAGGCCTCTCTTCGGGTTAAGAGGCCTTTCGTCGTACAAATGCATTTTAGTAATATTGAACAATGCTACCAATATTTTACAATGCAGAGAAATAGCAAGAAAAAATAGTTCCTGTTAGATAAAAATGGACCCATGCAACACTGCAGTGTGTGTGCGTGTGTGTGTGTGCTTATCACCTCTGCACCGGTGGCCACTTCCTCTGCAGCCCCTGACATCACGCCCAGCGTGTAGAACGAGAACACGCACAGCTCCCTTGTGCACACGGCCGGCTGCACGCACGCACGCACGCACACAAGCACGCACACACTATACTTAAATACATGAGTATCTTAAGCTCGTCAAAGTTGGTCGTCTAACCAACATTTAGAAACAATGTATATCATCAAAAATGTATTTCACTACATCTCTTTTCAGCCAGCATCAAAGCATTTAGCCATGTTTACGCTTTCGCGTTTTTTTTCTTCATGTGTTTTTGGCCTATGATGAGGAATCGGGAGCTGGTACTAACCAAATTTTGTAAGCAAAGGACTTCTGTGAGGTGGAATTTTGTGACTGGTGTTTGTGTGTTTCTTCTGTCTGTGCGATTTGACAAGGAGCACTATGAAAGTGTACATTGAGCTGATACATCGCCATTAGCGGCTAATTCCTGTTATAACCTGGACACGACTGGACTTAGAAACATGAATCTGTGTCTTTGATACCTTCAGCATGGATCCGTTCTGAAAGACATGCTGCTCATCGCAGACCACGCAGTACTCATTAAGCGTGGGGATCCTCTGCTCGGAGTACTTCATTATCTGGCCAGGGAAAACACACACAAACATGCACACACATGCAAAAACAATTGTCTTCCTGTTTTCAACTCTCTCATCCAGTGTTGAGATGTAAAGATCACTGAGAGCTACTGAGTAGCCTATGCATGAATTGTGATAAATGGATGAATAGTGACTATTGCTTCGAGTCTCATACGCAGTAAGTTATAACCTGAGTGAGTTTGTATTGCACCTGCACTAAGAAGCCGTACTCCAGTGTGGGAATGTTCTTGCAGTGCCCGCCCGCCTGGGATGAGAAAAACAATTCAATCAGCTGCCTGGTGGTGATCTGTGCAGGGGCCCTGGCCGCCGGGACCGCCACGGTCTGATGAGTCAAGTGGAGAGAGTATTATGGGTAACGGTACGACAGTCACACATGGAGACGTAAAGGGATGGCGGTGAGTGATAAGAGAAGAGAACATCAAACAGTGGGTTTGAATTCAATGTCCAAAGATATACCGTACTTCACTCGAATAGTTGACCTTAGGAGTCCTCACTCTTTTTAAAAACTGAAAGCTACGTCTTGGGTACTCATTAATATATAAAACAGTCCAAATGATTATTCAAGCAATCAATGGAATAATCAATTGGATAATCAATTCTAAAAAGATTGAGCGATAGCCTTAGTCACAAATGAAAACGGCAGCACTTACTGATGCATGTGCAATCCCTCCGATAAATTAATTTGCGGAGTGTTAGCAGATGTTGCAAATCAGTTCCCGCATCATTTGTGTTGGTGGCGAGTTCACACACCACATACACAAGGGCTGGGCAATTCATCAAAATGTAATTGTGGTTTCAATTTGGCTTTCTCATCATAAAAACATGATAATTGAAGTATTGACATAATTTGTCCATACAAGAAAAGTGGGGAATGACAGATTTGATTGTATTTTTATTGTGAGACACACTCACCTGGCTATTTGGCGGATAGCTGAAGAGCTCCCCTTTCGGGTTCTTCATTGTACATGAGATGGATCGATTCATGAGGCGGGTCACGCGGAGTTCAGGCACGCTCAGCTTCCCTTTCAGGACCGTGTCTTGGATCAAGGGGAAGCTTGGGGACCTTGAAAAGGAGAACAAACAAATCATTCGCAGCAATTCCTGTTGAATTGCTATCTATGAGACAATGGTGCGTTTGTCGTTGATAACATGTTTAATTGTTCCATACGAACAAAATCCTCATTAATAATGTATCTTTGGAGGTTTTGAATAGTGCTATAGAAGTGCCATATGTGCTAAAGTAGAATTGTTTGATAAAAAATAAGGCAGATTTTTTACACTTGTATTTTTTTTTTTTTACATGATTACGGTAATAAAATAAAATTGTTTTCATTTTTAATGCTATGGCTAAGTTTATTTATAAATTATGTTTTACGCTTTTTGGGCCAGTAAGAATGACAAGAGGATACTTCTCTGTACAAACAGTTAATCGTCCTCTAATGTTACAGGTCAAACTGTATTCATAAATATAACTGAAAAATGAAAAAATCTGCTGGCTTTTTCATGAATACTTTCTGTGATAAACAATTTAAAGATTTTTTTTAAATTTATAATTCAAATTTATTGACCTGACAGCGACACAAAAAGCTAACCGAGACAGGAATGTCACCGTTTTTTTGTTTGTTTGTTTTTGTTGCTTGTTTTTTTTTTTTTTAACTGATGAACATGCATGCATCTTGCATTACAGATATGAGAAATTTACTTGGGGATTGGAGAGAAGATGCTGAGCCCAGCGCGGAACTTTTTGATGGTTCCGCCGGCTTTGAACCAGCTGTGCCTCTTCTCCTGCTGGGCCTTGAGGAACTCATTACTGAGATGCTTCCACTGCTGGGATGTGAATGTGCTCAGGATCCTGTGAATTATAACAAGAGCGCAGGGAAGGTGTCGAGCAGGGAAATGTTCGTATGACAAAATGGCAGAACAGTCGTTAGTTTGAGATGCATTAGAATTCTGGCATACACACCATTATCCACACCCTCACTAAAATTGAATTAAGTTACTTCTTCGGCAATATGCACAATTTATCATGAGATTATGTCAAAGGATTCCGACAATTGCATATGGCACTACTGCTATAGCATCAAAGCATTTGAAAATACAGACAGGTAAAACTCACTTTTTGAGTTGCAAGCCAAGGCTGAATCCTTCTTTATTGGAAGGCTGGAAAACATCGACTGATGGCTCTGCAGGAAAACGACTGACATTATTACACAGGGCAGTCACGCAAACACTTCTCCTGAGCCTCCGCTGCCTCGTCGTGCTGCGTGCGTGCTACTCACCTCCCACGCTCAGGCGCGTGGCACAAATTGCTAAAAAGCGCCATCAACATCAATAACGACATCTCTACTCACCGGGCCCATCGAGGTACTGAGAAAGAGAAAAGCGAAGTCTCAGAATAATGGGCTCTGTTCTGATAACTTTCCAAGCTGTCGCAATCTCCTCCTGAGTCAGACACACACATACACATGCACATATATGCAATGTTAGCCAGCTAATTATAATTTCTCCTCACATGATTAAACGGGGACTATGCGGGGCATTATGGGTTGTGTTGGCTGGATGTGCAAAAGAAGAATAACAGTGGCGATGCACAATTATCAGAATGCTGACTCACATCGAGGAAGCCAATGTTAATATGAAGATCGATGTCGACGTCATCAATGCTGCCATACTCCCTGTTCAAAGACACAAGTTATAGGCGTTTATTTAAACACAGATGTTTACCTCTGCCAAGCTCCAAAACATGAAGTGTGAGTATGAGGTGTTGATTTCACTGATCTATACTGTTTTTTTTTTTTGTTTGTTTTTTTTTTGTTCAGCAGGATTACACAAACATCTTGCACCCAAATTTAATGGAGTTGACAAGGGATCATTCCCATTTCAGAGTGCTTCTGACTGATAACCAGTCCAAAGTGTACCGGTGGTTTGTCTTTGTGGTGGTCCATCAACCTACAACTGAATTGCATGTGCTGTTTATGGTCACCTTAAAATTGACAAGAAACCAGGTATGATTTTTTTTTTCTCCAGTTTTTCATAGCTGGCTTTCATGCAACTGGTGTAGGAAACAATTCCATCACATGCATTGCTTATTGTTACCTGGTGGTTACTTGGCAACGAGTACAGGGCTTAGTCAGTGTTTGCAGAGGTTCCCGTAGTTGACTTTCATCAACCCTCAATGTACTGTTCAGTCCAGGGTGGAGGGTGTGTGTGTGTGTGTGCGTGTGTGTGTGCGTGTGTGCGCGCGCGCACATGTGCAAGCGCTTGCGTGTACCTGACGGAGACAGCACTGTCAGTATAGATGTCTTTCACTGCCTCAATGTCTGCATCGAGTTGAGGATGGCGGTAGAGGTCACCGGCGCAACTCCCCTGTCACAAACATTTTGGGCCGTCAACCATGCAGCACATAAACACGGGAGGAGCATGTGTCATGAAATCAACACTTCATTTTTTTTTTTTTTTTTTTTATAGGACACATGTAAATGGCAATAGCAATAGCAATAGCAACATAGTGCAGTAAATCAAGTTTACATCGTTATGATGACTATGCAAAAGCTATTCAACAGATTTACAAACCACATTACATCAGTTTCCATAATGACAACATTATTTTGGCATTTTATAGCCAGTACGTGATCACTGTGAATGTAATTCCACACCGCGGAATGCTCGGCAGTCACAGCACATAGTCAGACAACTATTCACAGTGTCACTTAGTGGATACTGAGCCCACGCTGTCTGCACCAAAGTCCGGCAAGCAAATCACTATATTGTTAGTCAACAGCTACATTCATATTTACTTGAAGACGGGCCAAATCAATATGTGAAACAATTCTCAGCAGTCCACTTCCGAGCAAGTTTAATGTGCTGAAAGTATTTTTAAACGCTGTCTTTTGGTACAATTATCATCAAGCGCAGCAATGCAGTTCCGCCAGCTGGCTCAAAAATGTCGATAACATGAGGCCTGACTGTTGTCCACATCTCTTGCCATCGAGACGGCAAGTTAGACTCTTGATCACCTCAGCTCACGAAGACATTTCGCAGACCTTCATCCTTATCTTTTCCTCTGTGCTTTCATGTTCTACTTCGACAAGAGAGGCGAGCTCCGAAATCCCTGACTGGATTTACATTTCAATTACAGATCTTGGATGATAACGCAGTTAGGGATCGTCCAAGTTACAGTGAAATATAGAATCTTTGCGGAATGGGACAGTGCTTTAAAAGGTGTCTGGTGGTGACAGGTGAACAGTCCTGCAAAGGCAGACAGTACCACCGATCGCTTTTCAACAGCTCATGTTAAACAAAGAAAACACTTAAAACATTTGATCAGGATATCCTTGTGAAGAGACGAGCATTTCAGCAGGAATAGTCCAGACCTTGTATGTGTGTGGTGTGCTGTATTGATCATCTGGAGTACATCACACATCAGAGGAAACGTGAGACTTTTTTTTTCCTCATTGTGTGTAGTCTCTCAGATGTTACAAGTCCTACGCATGTACCCTTGCTGGGATTGCAGCAAATGTAACGGCAGTCACTAAATTGAGTAAAAATGGGTGTTGCGAACAAAGCTGCAATTTTATCAGAACTTGAAAAACGTGTCAGTCACCTTTGTGAAAAAGAAGTCTTTTGATCTGACTTTAAGATCTGAATACATACTATAATGCTCATATAATCACCCTCCATATTTTTTAAACTGCTGACACCTTCACAAACTTCCTCTCCTCTAATGGCTCTATTCCACACAGATTTGTTCTATAATCTCCTTCACAAAACGATCCATCTGGCATGTCAAGGTTAATTATGCCCGAATGCCAGCAGCAGCAAACGACTGAACCCGTCCCTCCGTACCTGGATCCCGTACAGGAATTGCTCCGGCTCGTTCTCCCCATCAGATTCCTCGTCGGTCCAACACTGGCCTTTGATATCCTGTGGGCATTGACAAGATAGAAACTGCAAGCATTTCCTACTGGGCCTTTCATCAAAAGTCACTATTTGTTTGTTCAAGGGCTTCAAAACAGAGCTTTATAAATCTATCTCCAAAGAACCAGAGATGACACTTTTACGAAGTGATTAAAAATAACCAAGCAAAGTCTCCAGAGGTCCGGTGGAATAAATAGCCTTTATTTGATGTACTCAGGAGTTGAGACTTATAGAATACGGGCATTTGGCTAAGCGAGTAATGCTAACAAATAGGAGACTAACTAGCTTACCATCGGTTCGGCTGTTCTCCGGGTTCAATCAGACAGCTTTAGGCCTCGTGCCAACCATCGCAGCTGGGAAGGAAGCCAGGATGTCTTGCACACCTTGGTACAATGGACAAACAACAATTTGATTTTAAAAAAAAGATGGCTATGTAGAAACAAAGAGGTGGGGCCATCTCTTATGATGACACTCTTCTCCTGATCCACTGGTGAAAGTACACTTTGATCCTTTCATCTATAACTGCTTCAAAACAACAAAGAGTATGCGGAAAAGTGGTTAAGATGGAATGACTGTCTGTGGCTTATGTGTGGTGTTGTATTATTTTGTGATTATGACTTCAAGATGGCGCCGCGAGAGTGGCTGCCTTTACAGCATCTCCTATAATTGTTGCTCTTCTACTTTCTTCCTTGCATAACTTTACTGCTGTAAATTGGGAATTTCTGCATTGTGAGATGAATAAAGGTTTTCTTATTCTTATTCTTGTTCTTTGTCGGCACACTCTCCTTTAAAATGTCTGCACTTCACCTTCCTGCTGTCTCCTAGCAACAACCGTCTCTGCTTCCTTTTCAGAGTGGCATTAATCACTGTGGAGCCTGTGTGTGTGGGGAGGAGGGGGGGGTGCTGGATGTTCATCACTCAGGTTGTCTTTGTGTTATGTCGTCACGTGTGCTTTCCTCGAGAAGGAAAAAAAATATATTCAGGTTGGCTCAACTTTTAATACTCGTAAAAAATGGTATTTCTGCTTTTGAAAACACATTGGTAAAAAATAACATTTCCTGATTTGCTGTTATGGTGAATGGAATTTTTTTAATGTCACGTTTAAGGATGTGCATAATTGTCGATCCAATGGTTGCAAAGGATTCTGCGGATTTGCATGGAATTCATTGTTGATTAATCGTGTCTTGAAGGAGCTGAGCCAAAATGGTGTGCACCTCTTGGCTGCAACCAACAGAGGTCATTATTTATTCACTCAATTTACTCCAAACAGGAGTTAAGAACATTCAGATCAATATTCTACCATTCATACATTCATCATTATTTTAAAAAAGAGGAGTATAAAGTGGCCACAAATATTCCCAGAGGAGATTTAGTTGAGCATACTTCCACAGACATCAGTTCTCCAAAGAACAATCAGCAAGAACAAAAGAATGTTTCGGTTTTCTTTGGCTGTTTTGCAACATTTAAAGAGGGCTCAACGATGGATGAATGTGAGAAAAGAAGACTATTCACTGGAATTATGTGGAGTGTTGGTGCCACGTCATCTTATCTTAGTAAAAATAACAAATGCTAGCTGTAATCTGCTATTTTGCATGTGGCTGAGTGAGTAGTCGCTTTGTGTCCTCACTTATTATCAAAGGAATCATTTATAATTGATGAAAATAGTATTGATTATTGACTTTTATACTACAATGGCTAACTTATATTTGTCTTACAATCCCTCATAAAAAATGTGAATATGAGGTAACTTCTGTTGCGCTCTTAATTTGTCATTAAAATAACAAAGAGTACTTGGAGATTTATCTGTTGTTTAAACAGCAGAATCAAATCAAATAACTTTTTGTCACACTTGTATGACAGATAATGTTAATTATGTTACAGCGGTTGCTTGGTTTATCCGAATACAGGCTGGAGACGATGAGAGTTTCTTTGAAGCTTTTATTTACAGAATATTCCGGGCACCAATGAGTTACAGACAATGGCTGTCGCAAATCACAAGTGCAAAGACACAAAGGCCTCAGAACATATTTATATTATCAGAAGGGCGGTACCGAAACGGTTGTGCGATATCGGGACTTTCCACTAGGCAATACGTTTCTGTCTAAACCGATTCTAGCTGGTATCAACTGGCGCATTCCTATGCCCTGGGCGTCACCACAAAGTCTCCAGTAAGCAGTTCGGCAAGGTTAACTGATGAGTTGGCGTTGCTTCAAGGACAACATCTGGTTACAAAACAGTTTCATTGCGGACATGAGGGAGTTATACAGGCATGACTAAATATGGGTCAAAGACACACTTCAAGTGCCACTTGCTGTCAACTAAAAATCAAATCACAGTGCCGAAGGGCTCAGATAACGACTGTCGCGGCTCACCTGTTTACTGAGTTTGGTCATGTGACGTTCGCAAGCTGACCGCCGTGGCACTGTGATGTCATTTTCGGTCGACAGCAAGTGGCAAAATGGCCGAGCCATGAGATGGATACAAACGGATTTTTATGCCTAATTCATGTTCCACAAATACAATATTCATCAGATGATTGTGTTTAGTCAAGTGGGAGCGCATACAACATTCTATTGTCAAGAAAAGGTTTGACTCGACTTCCCCTTTAAAAAGGGTTTTGTGCAGATGATCGTTTGACCTCAAAACAAATGATTCCTGTTCTACTATTTCCATTGTTTCTGAATAAATCGTCTGTCAGACGGCATTGTGAAAGGTTCCGCTCTCGCTCCAAAGCTATCATGGATGAAAAAGAAAAAAGCGATCCATCCTATTTTGGTTCAGTGAGTTCTATGAATGTCAAATGCGGGTGTGCAGCTGTGACACAAAAGACCGTATACACAATTACCAAACCAAAACATGAACCACTTTCGTGTTGTACACACCAAAGCAGCAGCACAGCGGAGCATTACGGTAGAGAATGCTGATACAAAATCCAAATAGAAGCATCAATACAGACTCCTCATGCTGCCTTTGTGCGCCGAGTCGCTTTAAAGACCTTCATCCTCAAAGCAGAATTCTACCATGTCATGTCCTGACATACAACACCCCCCCCCCCCCCCCCCACCCAAGCTCCATCCTCATCCCCAAAGGCTTTGTGGTGCCACATACCGACGCAGCACCATCGTCCTCATTTCTCCTCATGAAGATTATTTAGCACAAAATGCAGTCAGGCACATTTCCCCTCCCCCTCTCTACATACCCTGTACACCCCCAACCAAAAAAAAAAGAAAAAAACCCTCTTCCAAATTTACCTTCACAGAGGATGGAGACGCAGGATGCTGTCCTTGTCTCAGCCTCTTCCTGCCTGGCGCCTGCAAGCACAGACGACAGCAAGATCATCAAAAATAACTCCACGATGTGAGACAGTGTGCTTGTCAACGTCAGCTCAAGCCGCGCCGACCGCTGTCTCGTGTATTTTGCCTGACAACACTAAAGGGTTTGGAGCATGCTCAGTGAGAGCAGACAGCCAAGTCATGTGACCCGCAGCTGACTGCACTGTTGCTGCTGAGGAGGAAGGATAAAATAAATAAATATGAAAAAAAGGGGAGGCAGGGTGAGGGAGGGTGGAAAGGCTTGTGCGCATGTCAGTCATTGTCTGCTGATGAGTAATCTACAATCAATATTACTGTATTGGCGCACACAATATTTGAAAATGACAAGTCAGCACTAGGGAGCTCAAATAAATACAATAGATGCTGATTTATATCGGGCTTTCATAACAGTGGCAGATGTAACAAAGCGCTTTACAAAACAGTTAACAAAGAAAAATAATAAACAACACATAAAACACAAGCATAAAGTAAAATAATGAACACAACACATAACAAAACACGGGACAGTTGTGCAGTCCTAACCACTTTCCCCTCATAGGCTTTGTTGTTTAAAGCAGTTTGAGATCAAAGAGAATCAAAGTGTCCTTTCACCAGTGGATCAGAGACGCCATGCTCAAAATGTGCACACGTCGGCTACAAGCTAAGTTTCAAAGTCAACAAGAAGCTGTAGCATCCATTGACGAAAAAAAGATTGGTTCACTTCTCCTGTCCCATATAAATCCATTTCAATTTCAGCAGCATTGAATCTATTCCATATCGCTGCTTTCAGGCCGACAACCAACAACCCATTTTCAAATTTTGGACAGTTTAGTATTTGTTCCCAAATCATAACCAACCCCATCGGAGTCTGTTACAATTGCAAATGATCAACACATCTCAGGTATTGAAAATGGCTTGATCTCTTTCACGATGCAATGCTAATGGCTCAAAAGACATGCCTTTTTGGGGAGTGGCGAGAGGGGGCGTTCCTGAAAAGTGATGGTTTTGATGATAAGAGGATTCCAAAGACACCAGCGAAATATTATCTCTATGTTCTTACAAAGCAGAGATAAATGTGTCATTCTAATACATATTTCTCATAATACACATTAATAAAGAAAGAGTTGTTTTACTTTTATTTTTACATTTTATTTCAAAGTCTTAGAGGTGTCTAATTTTCATATTTAGTTCTTATCAGTGATGTAGATGCTGCAGCTCTAATTTGTGTGTGAAGAACGGCCCTTGAAGGGTGCAGGGATTTGCAGTCAGGGTAGGCAAGTGAGGCAGTGCCACCCTCTGCTGTCCATTCTCCTGCATATGAAGAGTAAAAAAATGCTCAAAGGAGTACAGTAGTAAAAAAACAAAACAAATAATAATTATAATTATTATTATAATAACAACAGTTACAACACCAAGACGTCTATAGGTGATTTTCGAATAAGGGCTTTCATGCCATATCAAATATCAAGGAAAGACCAAATTATTTTAAAATTAAATTAAAAACTCCAACAATGAACTTGACCTCATATCAAATATTCTTTTTCTTGCTGTCGCATTGTTGAGTGGTGTGGAATTGATTGAAGCATCATAAAAAGCTTTGAAAACAATCCAAAATTCTCTTCAACCTGATTTGCAACATCGGTTTCAATGAAGGCCCAAACTGACAAATCGCTAGTTGTCTCTTATGGTTCCTATTTTTATATCCAACTCCAGAGGAGAGGGTGCCTCACCAATCATGAACCTCATCTCACATCACTCCAAGTGCAATACTGTACACCAAATCACCATAATTGTTGGAAAACCCTTTTAATACCAGCTATGACAGCTCCAGTGACAAGAGAGTGAGTAACCAAGCGGTTAACTTCACAGACATATACAGAGCAATTTATTTCAAAGTTCAGATACAGCGCAGTTAACTTTAAAGTCCAGACAGAAAACATTTGAAGGGAGGGAAATGGTTTTGGGCCCAAATTAACTAATGTTCCTTAATTTACAGAAAGCCAGACAGGGAAACTCAAACGTTGTTGTCGTTTTGATTCGTAATTCGCAAATATCACAAGGGGGAAGACTCACAGTTTGTTGTCGTTACAGCAAAATCTCTAGCAGCCACGGGAACAGAAAAACGTGGGAAGGAAGACCCATGGCCGGTGACTACCCAGTAGCACGCTGCCCCTCACCCGAAGCAGCGAGGATCGGCACCAGCACACCCTAATGAGGAAAGGCAACATACAAACTGGATTGAGACTGACCGGTTTATCAAATGCAAGCCTGCCTTTGAATGATGTTGCACTTCTCATTGGTTGTGATTGGCTGATCGGATGAAATGGGCACGGCTTCCTGGCTTTGACCAACTCTCAGGTTTCATGTTTAATAAAGATCAGTTATCGACTTATCGTATTTCTTATCTGTAGTTTCATAAAATGCATCCGTTGGTACTTGGAAGGCCAGTTTTTTTTTCCAAACAAAAATTCCCCTGATGACATTGAAATGATAATAAAGGTTGCACTGTCATTGGGTATATATTGGAGACAATAGTGATAAGGCTATCGGGCTAATCTGTCTTTGCCCTGGTTATCTCAGATCGTGTCTATTGGAGTCTGGCCACAGGCTGAAAGGATTACGCTTGTCAACTGCTCAATTTGAAGAAGAAAGTGAAACATTCAAAATCATCTAGTGTAATTTAGTGTTGTGGCTTTTTGCATGCAAGGCCTGATTGCACAAATAATATATGTGTAGGGGAGATAATGTTCAATTATCGTTTGAAAATGATTAGCAAATCATTGTATTCTGTCTTTATTTATGTTTAAGACAACGTGCCAACTTAACTAGAGTTGGGTTTGTAAAAATATGAGCTTCTCTTGGCATCAATGACTTGAAACATTGAAGGCGTTAGAAAGCAGTGGAAATAAACGAGAGTACAGTCCGGTCCGGTCCTGCATTATGTTGTGACCGATGGGCGCCATAGTGCAATACTATTTATCGAACGCTAGATGAAGCCATATACCTCAATCTTGGTACCAGACCACAAAGCCCCATGTAGTCTGCTCCACAAAGGTTACATTTGAATCTACACGTCATGTAAATCGCGTGAAACAATGTCGGGGTTTTTTGTCGTCTGCTAAATGTTACACAGCTGGAATATTTACCTCTTCAAACAGCGTGTATTGACAAACTACAACGCTCAAGGCGATGCGTCGTCCTGAAAATATAACAGTCAGTACTATCGTGAAAAACAACTACAATAGATACACAACCATAAATCAACTGTAAGGAAGTCACGCTGCAGATTTTGAGGAAACTTGCTCCGACTCGCCATCATGCGTCACATGGTGACGCCGACGAGCTGCTGAGGAATTCCCGCGGTCTGATTGGCTGACTGCACCACACGTCCCCATCTCAGCTCTATATCCATTGTATCCTTCCGCTAGCGCGGGCTAACCCTTGTTTTCCTGGCGTTCAATTGAAAAAAAAAACCCGGAAATATCAGAGTGTTCTCAATTGCACGAGTGTAATACATAGCGTTAATATGATTGAATCTATTCCAAGTCGGTGTTTATCTTTAAATGCGAGCGTGATTTCTGCCTCGGAGGGATACATCATAGCATCACGATAAAGTAGTTCCGCGGAGTGAGGAGCGGAGAGATCACCTTGAGCTGCTGCGCTGCCTGATACATCAATTCGAGCGTCCTACTGCGAGAGAAGGTGGGTTCAACTAATCTCACGATCGTTTGTTACGTCATTTGACTGAATTCAAGTTTGTGTTATCGACAATGTTACTTTTTCCTACACATTCTGTAACTCCTAAAATGCGGTTGCATTTTTGCTCATCATCACATGTTTGCTGGCGTGTCTAAATGTGTCAAACATATTGTCTGGATGTCTAAATATGTCTTCTAATGTCATCTTAACAAATAACACGCATTTTGCAATTTGCGTTGAAAGTGGACGTACGTGTTGAACTTTACAGCCATCTTGAGAGTCTGACATTGGTGCGCGCCGTGCTATGTCGTCTCCTGACAACGTTGTCATTATAAATCTGTTGGTGGGCGGATACGCAGTAAGGTCTGCATATCTTGGAAAATATTTTTCTACTTTTAGTCTGAATCAATGTACATCAGTTGTTGATAAAATTCACGTCAGAATAAATGGTAATCGGCCGCGATATATGCAGAAGTTCCTTTTTGGCGACTTGCTTCCAGATACTTCCCGTTGTGGGCGCGGCCTTGAGGTCTCGTCGGCCTCCGATTGGTCGGTTTGCTCACAGTGGTAAAGACGCGAGACAGGATGACGCAGTGATGCAATCGTGACTTTTGACGCATCGACTACGCCGTAGTCACTTTCTCTCGCCCACTATTATCCTGATAACTGCTGGCTAAAGTTGCTCTCATTGTATTGTTCAGTAATACAACTCGTCGTTTGCTTAGAAATGGCTTCCAAGGACGGTCAGTCTATTGATGACTGTGCATGTGTTGAAGACTGCGCATGTGTTCAAGAGCACACATCTCCCGTGTAAGATCTTTTAAATACAGTAGCTTTTATGTCGCAATTAATAGCAGTATGTTCAAGGGATCCCTTACCTATGTGGGTAATTTGCAGGAGTAAAACGTTAACATTTTGTGTATAATTAATTTGACAACATTTAATAACGATTTTAAAATATGATAGCCTGCTGCTCTGTTCCTTAGACACGTCACTCAGTAACAGTCGCGTGTGTCAACATTTGACTGGATTGTATTATAATAATATAGTAATATATACGGCATTTGTTAACTCTTATGAATTGAAGGTTAGGTTCAGCAGCAGGCAGAATTCTTTCTCAAAAACCTGATGTGTTAGAAATAATAGTAGAAACTCAATGGTTTAGAGTGGTGCCACAACTCCGGGGGATAGGTGGTTGCAATGTTTATGGTGTTTTGGCTCTTAAACAATTGAGGCACTTAGTCATACTCGCTTTATAAAAACGACAACTACAGGATTCATTCAGAGAGATATGTATAAAATGTCAGAAAAACACAATGCATTTCAAGTGAGTCTGGTGATTTTGATGGGTTGACTTTGAATGGACAGTGTGTTACACAAATCTTTAAAGTTTGTAGAAGGAATATGTATTTTTTTAATTATTAATCGAATGTCAGAAAGAATGTGCTTGGTTTCACTCATCTGATCTTTGGCAGAAAGAAGAACATTCTGCTGAATGGCTAATTACTTTGGAGGAAAGCTGCTTTCAAACAAACCTTTTTGTAACTAATTACATTTTTAAGTTGAGCATGTGCGTTCAGTAATTACACTAGAATTAGCTAGGTTCTGGATTTTCGCCTTTATCTGTCTGAATTAGTGTGACAAAGGCATCAAAGTTCATGCCTGACCCTTTCTGCAAATTGTTTAAATTGTGAACATGTAATTAGTTTGACAATCTTCAAATGTTCCTTCCAACCTGACCCGCAGGTAATCCAATAAAACTGGAGGTAATGCAACAAAACTGCACTTTCTGGTTTCTTGGCTTCCTTGGCCATGAACTGTGTTGTGTGGTGCACAGTTAACATCTGTTCATTTGCAGTTCCTTCCCACTACAACTCACCAAGCCTCCTCCTTTACCAGTGCAGACTAACTGGATTTGCACAAACAGAACCACGTGAGACTGCATTCGGTGCCCTGCTGTGTCCTTAACCTGGCGCACATATGCAGAACCGGAAAATGCAAAAGCTGGGTATCACGGAAGCGATAACCATTTTCATGTAAATACTCAAAACTGTAATTGTGACTTTTTTGTGGCCTTCTGGAGACTCTGAAACTCAGAATGTGTTTACTAGTTTGCGTCGGCACAAATGAATGGCACTTGTGCAGAGCCACCACAGGCAAATGTAACCAAGTTGTGCACTTAGCTTCATTAGAATAATAAAGTCATTTATAAGTAATTGCCACACAATCTCCCAATCCATAGAAACATATCCCAAACGAGTGAGTAGTCCTGCGTCCTGCATATCAGCTTTGCGAACACTGCCTGCATGCTGTATGTTATTATTAGACCTAGCCTGTTTTTAGGCCGCGGGTGTTGTATGTTCAAGGCCGGCAGTGACATTTTAGTGACTGCGCTTTCGCGGTGGCTGCCTCATGTACGGCCGTAATGTCACGTCATGGCGATGGCCCGGTCAATGCTGGCGCTCTCTTTGTTCTTTATCCTCATCATCACCGGAAGGATTTATTACTCTTGAGCTCCTGAAAGTGTTGTCACCGTGGACGAGTGCTTCGGCTGGCAGTTGCGCAGGGCCTGCTACTACAGGGTGTAGTCAGCCATTGCAATGTGGTGCACGCTCCAACAAATTGGGGTTCCTCTGGAGATCCGTGGCAGTGTCATGCCTCATTCTCCACAAGAGGACCAGGAACATCTACTGGGGGTATGTAGTGCATGGAACAGGTTGGTGGCATGGATGATACAAGCCATCTTGGATATGTTGTGTCACCGTCGGAAATGTCACGCTGTCCTGATTGCAGTACTCCTGGCCATGATTGTACTTGGGCAGTTATCAAAAAAGTGATAAAGCATGTATCTGGAAAGATAGGCGGTCATTTGACCAAGAGCGTTTAAAACAAAATGTCACAAGCTGGAGCCAGTCAGGAAGGGATTGGAGGGGATTATTAGTAGCCAGCTCTTAAATTAGCTTTGCATCTGTGTCAGGGTGACTCCAAACTACCAGTGAAGGATACTCAGCTGACATTGTTAGAAACAGACGTGAGATCCATGTCTTCCATGGAGGGCTAATGCTGTCATTCGTGTAACCGTTTGGTTTTCCCCATGAGAACAGCAAGCAGGATTTACTGAATAAAAAAAAAATGCCACTGCACAAAATTAATACTCCCCCCCACTTTACGTTTAATCGCCACCACAAACTCCAAAACAGCGTAACAGGTGCCACGCCGCTGTGAAGCTAATTGATCTGACAGTATGCACCCAATGGTCAATTTGAGCACGGTATGTTTGTGAGCATATGTAGCACTGGATGTAGTATCATCCAGGAACCTGTGCAGTGAATGTTGTGTTTCTTTTAAGTGGCATTCATTCAACTATTAGAGGTTCAGGCTGCAACTTGTTCTCACAAGTTGCGCTGGATGTGTTCGTGGTTTGAATGCTGTGAATGACAATAATGTGTTGTGCCACTCAAAATGCAGACCTGTTGGTCGAAAGCTTGTCAGTGTTCATAAAAAGACAAAGCACACAAAAATGGTTGTCGCGGAGGCTCCCTGTGACTCAGCCCACTCTGCTGCCTTCACCTTGCGTCGCTACGTATTGCTGCGGTACAGCAGAATGTGACTGCGAGCACGTACAGCTCTCCTCAGCCACCAACTGCTATGCTCCATTCACTCCAATGTTACATCATCACTCAGCAGGCACAATGGAGGCAGACGGTTGAGGGCTGGAACCCCCATCATGACCATTTTAATTAGATGGCAACAAGGGAGTCATGTGCCATTGTTTTGTGAGGTTATGCAACCAGAGTTGGTGTTAAAGAGAAGCGAGGATGCAATTTACCCTGCACATATTTCTGGGTTTTTTTATTGTTGTTTTCAGAACACCTTTGTTACAGGCAGATGCCTGAATTAAAAGCTTGAATAATCTGAATGGGAAAAGCATGGTGAACTGAGTCTTGTCAATGGGTCCAAATGAATTGTTGCCATTAGCAACCCAGTGGGGTGGCGAGGGGAGAACAGAGTGTACTGTACATGCGCAGTCTGGTCTACAGTGGATGTCGAAAGTGCACTCTTTCTAAAGTATTTGGGTTTTTTTGGGGGGGGGAAAGAGCCTATGCAAAATGATTCCATTTTCTTTTTCAAAATAATGAAACTAGCGCTGCACGGTTTAGCGGTAGTAAAAAAAAAAAAGTGCTGCTAGATACCACACTCACCATTTAAAAACAAAAGATATATATGTAACAAAAATGACATGTTACTAATATAATAATGCAAGGCTTAAAATTGTCTGAATCGTCTATTTTCAGCTTCTGAACAAGAATATTTCATTGATTTCTGTATTCCTTTATGAAAGCAGGTTACCTTTTGTGTGTAATCAAAATAAGGCTTTTGCAAACATTCTACTCTTATTTAGGACAACAATGACTGGACCAGAAACTAAATCAATTTCAAAAGGTTGGTGAGTACAATCTCCCTCTTGTGAGGGTTTTTTTTTTTTGTTTTGTTTTGTTTTTTTAATCACCAAACAGTACCAAATGCACAACAAAAATTGGTGAATGAACAGTAATTGCAGACAAATTGTTTTGTGATGCCCTTAAATGCAAAATAAAATGTTGTCTGATTAATTGATGGAATCATTTGATAGTGACAGTGACTGTGTCAACACAAAAATTTAAATCACGCTCAGGTGTTCGACACATTATCGGTAATCTTTTTTTTTTTTTAATTTCAATGTTTTTATAACTGTGAGAAGCCAAAATCAAAATCGCGGTTCCATTTTGATTGATTTTCCAGCTCTACTACCACATATTATTTTCTATTTGTACAACTACAAATAATTTGAAGATCTGTGTTTTCCCATCTACTCTATGATACCACTGCTTTTACCAATGACGTTATTTATTTATTTTCCCTTGGTATCGTTTCAGTAACAGTCTTGAGTTACTTTCTACGTGTGTAGTATTTAAGTCTGAATTTTGGTGCTGTGACAACACTAAATGTAACCTGACTTGTTCAATGGAAGTGAAAGTGAAACAAAGCTCTGGGTTAATTACACTGGTTGGCTTAGCGAGTACAAAGAAAACTATTCATTTGATTATGCCACGTTTGTTTGAATGGCACAATTCAGTCTTTTCGGGCTAGAAGTCTTGACACTTTTCCTCACAAAAGCTTGAACCTGATTTCCCAATTTCCTTGCTGATAGGTGAATGTCCTCCTTCATTTTTATTGTTTTTTGCTCACCAGTTTTTTTTTTTGTTATTATTATCAGTTTCTGTTATTATTGTCAGTATTATCAGTACCTGTTATATTTCAACATTGTCTAATTTCTCAACAGCACACATTTCTGAACTCTAGAGACTGTAAGTTGTCGAACCTCGTGGGTGAATTACAGATATCTGACTTTAACCCAGATTTGATGCTCATGGCACACTATGCTATTGCCATTTATTATAAACTCATATTGCAAGAACGGCTTAAGTGTCCAGCCAAGTATACCAATGGCTCCAAGCAAAAAAAAAAAAAAAGGACAAAAAAGAAATCTAATTGAACCCGTGTCTTACTTTTGTCCCTCAGGACCTGTCCAGACTCCAAGATAATTGCCATGCCTCAGCCAAAGATTGTCGACATGGGCTCTGCCTTCATCCAGACGCAGCAGCTCAACGCCGCCATGGCCGACACCTTCCTGGAACACATGTGTCTGCTGGACATCGACTCGAAGCCCACCACAGCTCGCAACACTGGCATCATCTGCACTATCGGTGTGTCTATGTACTGTCTAGCTACATAGTGGTTCTATCGATTGTGACGGTGAAGTTGTTGGACAATATGTTGTGTAAAATCAACAAAATTAGAAAATTCTCCTGCAAGAAGGGAAGACTGTAATGCCATGTTGTTATCCCTGTATACATCCATTCTTTTTTTTTAGGTTCACTTTTCAGTACAGTAATTTAAAAATAATAATGCATTCCAAACTATTGCCATATTAAGTAATAACTGTGTTTACAGAAATGTGAACAATCTCGCGCATTCTCAGAGCATTTCATGAAATTGTGAAATTAGGCCTTGCAGATGACTTTCTGATGCGAATTCTTCAGCTTTCAACTTTACTGTCTTCAAGTACCTTGTATGCTACCATCTGGCGGTCAAGAATAAAATGACACTTTTTAGGGGAACTGTAAATGCCTGATGCAACATACCAGCTTCACCACAAGTTTGAGAATACACTGGCATCATCAGCAAAATTACTTAAATCGCTCTGTGGACACGCTATTCTATTTTAATAAAACATTTTTAACATTTTTTTTTTCCTTTTTCTTCAGGGCCAGCCTCTCGTTCTGTGGACATGCTCAAGGAGATGATTAAGTCCGGAATGAACATCGCACGCTTGAACTTCTCACACGGCACACATGAGGTGGGCAGTTTTATCACTTCCCTGTTTGGCATGTTTGAACCTAGCGAGGGTGAGGCCAACTGCCACTGAAAGGCCATCACGTTCAACCTGTACAAATCATTTCAGTCCTTATCACAGGTGTGTTCCTTTCCTTTTTTTTTGCAATCTTTGCTTTTTGCAGCTTGGCAAACATTGCACATCTGTGGATACAATGGCTCCTCATAAACCGGCATGTATTTATGATGAACGACAATATGGTAACTTTAAAGACAATCAGGCAAGACAGATTATCAACTTCATAATATAATCATATTCAGGTGGATATGATGCAGCCAGACACCGACTGTTCAAGGTGAAAGTAAGGGCAAACATACAGATTAGTATTTGTTACAATGAAGCAAATCACTTACTCACAGTCAGTCATTTTTGTAGTTTGAATATGTATGTGAAGAGCTGTTGTTTAAAAAAAAAAAAAAAAATGATGTACCGGTAGTACCTTTTGTGACACGTAAGAAACTGCAACTAAGCTTCAAAAAGAGCTTCGTGCGCATCTGAATTGTCTGTGAACCGACCTAGCACAAACCTTTGCAAAGCTTTGCCCTTTCATGATTTTTTTTTAAACACTTCCATGACTTATTTTGAGAAATAACGCTTTCGATCCTGATCATTTGAATTACGTGCGGTCCGAATCGGAGTTTGATACCTGTGCAAGTGGAGCCTCTTGCATCTTCCCCCTACAAATTTTACAACCTTCTGAACATGTTTAGCAGGACATTCAATCACAGCTCCCTGTTCCTGATGGGCATCCTACAGTGGTGTTGTTTCCAAAATGGTTGACTGGAAGAGGACAGGCTTAAACACAACCTTTTTTTTTTTTTTCTTTTAAAATAAACCTCCACGCCAGCATTTAAATTAGAAATTGTGAAAAATCCGGACCATTTTTCAATCATCTGTAGGTTAAATTAAATTGTGTCGCACTGCATTTCTGTGCGTGCGTGCGTGTGTGTGTGTGTGTGTGTAAGGCAGCCAGTGTAATTCCTTGCCTTTTAAGTTACAGTATTTGTGAAAGCTGTGCTTCCCCACGTGGTCTAAGGGCGGAGGCCAGCTGCTGTATGTGCATAGGCACAACTAAATGAACAAACATGGGGACTGCTTGAACGCAATTTGCCTCTTTCATAGGAAATAAAGAAAATTGAATGAGTTTGTTTCAAGGTTCAACTCTTGTCAATTGACAATGTACAACAATGTTTTAAGGTGTTTGAACATTCTTAAGTGCCATGCAAATGTAAATATGCACGGTTAATGAGTGCATAAAACTGTTTCCTGTGTACTCAACCTTCTCTTCATTTCATTGAAAATGTTTCCCGAATGTTGGGTGGGCCCTTAGAGCGTTCACATTTGAAGGGTTGGGTTAGCTTTTTTGTTTCAGCCTCAACTACAACAGGTTTGTGGCACAATTGTTCATTTGTTGCACTGTGAAGACAGATTCTGAGAGACACACAGACCGATTTCTGTTCTAACCCTGTTCTCTTCGTTTTATTAACAAGTTGCTCTAGAGTTAGCTGCCTTTGCCTCAGTATTTCTGAATTAAACATGAGACGATTAATGGTCTGCTGGTGGAACATCTTCCTCAATTATTCTCCTGACATTACAAGGGGTTGGTGCCACTGGAGAATTAACAGGAGTAATCGCCAAGATCAACCTGACAGTTGTTTTATAAACTGGAATTAAGACGTTTTTTTTTTTCTAACCTCATTTACCACAGCATCAACAGACTGTTCGTAGTTGTACTGCACGTTAAGAAGGGTGTGGTGGAAAAAGGTCAATGACCGCACTGTGGCAGTCATTACTCATGCAGCATGTATTTTGATTGCCGCAGTTTGTGAGTTTTACAACTATGTTAAAAAAAAACATGTCTGCCTTTGATGATTAGTTCACATCGGAACTTTTTTCCATAGTACCATGCTGAGACCATCAAGAATGTGCGTGAGGCATGTGAGAGCTTTGAGCCAGGTAGCATCCAATACCGGCCAATCGGAATCGCCCTGGACACCAAAGGGCCAGAGATCAGAACTGGCCTCATCCAGGGAGTGAGTACAGTGATGCCGAACGGCCATGTTGGTTGGCAACTCAACTTGAAAAACACACCAGTGGCACTGAGGACTTCTGTGTGGTTTTAACAGAGCGGCACGGCTGAGGTAGAGCTGAAGAAGGGCAAAACGATCAAGATCACCTTGGATGACAGCTACCAGGAGAAATGCAGCGAAGAGATCCTGTGGCTCGACTACAAGAACATCACCAAAGTAGTAGAACCCGGCAGCAATATCTACATTGACGATGGGCTCATATCTCTGCAGGTCAAGGAGATTGGTAAGATTTGTTCACATTTAAAAAATAAATAAATAAATACATTCAACGGACGCAATGTGAAAATGTATGTTAATGGAAAAGTACTGACACGGGGTTTAAACAATAGACCAGATATATGGAATATACATTTGGCTTACAATATAGATTTGTCATCAGATCAATCTCAGTATATTAAAAACCAGAATAAGTAACTTTGATTGTCAGTATACCTTTGACAGAACTGTAGTTATAGCCATGTCACATTGGAAAGTAACCAACTACGGACACCAATTAGATGCAGATCTTATCACAACTCTTTGGAGAATTTCGTCCTATTGAATGAACTCGCCTTTGTCCCAGGCCCTGATTTCCTCATGTGTGAGATTGAGAACGGTGGCACCCTGGGCAGCAAGAAAGGCGTCAACCTGCCTGGCGCCGCCGTGGATCTGCCCGCCGTCTCTGACAAGGACGTCCAGGACTTGACGTTTGGCGTGGAGCAGGGCGTGGACATGGTGTTCGCCTCCTTCATCCGCAAGGCCGCCGACGTCCACGCAGTCAGAGCTGTGCTGGGCGAGAAAGGCAAGAACATCAAGATCATCAGCAAGCTGGAGAACCACGAGGGCGTGCGCAGGTGTGTGCCATCAAGTTAAGGCATGGTTGTGTTGTTCAAATATCTGATTAGCGAGTTGTCATCCTGAACATCCAGTGATGTGAACATGTTGCGCCCTGGTGGCCTTGTAGTGACACTACACCCGAAAAGCAAACTACGCCATCTTCTGACGTTTTTGTCTAATTGCCATTATGTGTCGTCTTCAGGTTCGATGAGATCATGGAGGCCAGTGATGGCATCATGGTTGCCCGTGGTGACCTTGGTATTGAGATCCCCACCGAAAAAGTCTTCCTAGCCCAAAAGATGATGATTGGCCGATGCAACAGAGCCGGCAAGCCAATCACCTGTGCCACTCAGGTCAGATGTTTGAATGCCTCTTCAGTCAGTGCTGTAACATTTCTTGTGCGTCCATGTGTGCTCTGTTATATGTTATTACAGTAGGAGGGTTGGGTTTTTTTTGTTTTTTTTAAATAATTAAACCTGTCAAATGATTTGTCTTCAGATGCTGGAGAGCATGATCAAGAAGCCGCGACCCACGCGCGCCGAGGGCAGCGACGTCGCCAACGCTGTGCTGGACGGGGCCGACTGCATCATGCTGAGCGGCGAGACTGCCAAGGGAGACTACCCTCTGGAGGCTGTGCGCACGCAACACATGGTCAGTTCACATCAAAGGAAGACTTGAACCAACACAGTTAACTCCTCTATAACAATTAACCCCTCTTACTAATTGAAATCTTGTCTCGCATGATTGTCCTTTTTTCATCTAAAATGAAGGTCAGTAATAGGGACAGCTAAAACATGTTAGTGAATGCAGCATCATACACCTAGGTCTGTCCTCCGGTATTCATAATTCGACCACAGTGGATTTGAAATCAAGTGTAGGCTTTCAGCTTTCATTTCTCAAATTCTATCCTTTGCCTCATGGAATTATATTAACTTCAATTTCTTTAGGGATTGTCACGTATTTCCAGATAATAATGAGAGACTGTCGGAGTTATACCCGGACAAGTTTAAACAAAAGAACTCGACTCAGGGAAGATTGTTGATGCAGCTGACGGGAGTACGATTTCCCAGAGCGAACGACGACAGTTGGTCCACACACACAAAGTTCCTCGTGCTCCTCCTCGGTCTTTTATTGCTTACATATGCAAAATACAAAAAAAACCCAATGCCCCTGATATTTGCATACCACGCTCCCAGTCCGGCCCCTCGGTGGTTGAACCACAGATACTCTTACACCTTTATGTCTGGTCTCCCATGAATAAGCAAGTTGCAGACTTCACAGATGACAAATGTTCGCCTGGGCCGCGACACTTATTACCAGTTCCCAAACCGTGTTTTGATGTTCTAAAACACTTCGTTCCTAAACTGTTTACTGTACTCCCAAGCTGTAAGGCGACTGACTCCCTGTGGACTTCAAAGAGCGCTCGGGCCGACACCCTTGTGCACAGACATTTGGGGGCACTAAATACAAAACCCGTCTAGACAGGCCCAAATTAAATGGAACTTTAAACATGATGTCATTCTGTTCGTAGATTCCTCTAACAGAGACTAAAATTCTGCTAGCATGTGTGTGATTTACATCATTAATACAGTCTACTATATTAATATTCATACAGGCCAGCAAAGTTGACTATTGGTTACCTCAGCTGCCTGACAGTTTTGTGGTTCTGGGTCCAATGTTTGGCTCTGGCCCCTGTGCTGGGTTTGCATGTTGTTGTTGCTGTGTTTGCGTGGGTTTTCTCTGGGTATTCCGGCGTCCTGCCGCATTTCAAAAACATGCAGTTCACTGAATTCATTGAAGGCTCTAAATTATTCATTATTTCAGTGAGATTTTGAATGCTTGTTTATTACTATCTGCCCTACAATTGGGTGTTGGCTTGTGCAGGTTTTGTGAAGCCAAAGTCAACTGGGATAGGCTCCAGCTCTCCTGCCATCCAAATGAGGACAGGCATTCTGGAAAATAGATGGATGGAAGACACATCTTGGACAGAAGCAAATTGCTTGTGCCTTTTTAACTTGCACTGTTTGCAGCTTACCGTTGTAAAATACAGTGCTTCAAATTGTAGCAAATGTAATTATTTACTGTCACCATCCATCACTTCATTTCAAATGTTGAGTGATGCAGCAGTTTCTATTCTCCTTGAATGATAGAGCCCCACCAAAAAACGGTCCTTTTATTCATCTCCAATCCCGATATACTGTATCCTCCATAACTGCATGGACATGTGGTTTTAAGAATTATCAAGCTTTCAACCTGCCCCACCTTTTAGGCGGCTGTCTTTCTCTGCCTTTTTGATAATCTGAATCACACTACTTACTGCTTGCGTGAGCATGTACTGTTGCTTTAGCGCCATAGGTTTCTAGAGCCCCTTATAATGAATCAAGCAAAGGTGGAATATTTTTGTTAGTAATTGTCTACTGTCTCTCTTCCTTCTCTCTCTCTCTCCCGCCCACTGCACACACATTCCCTTTATTATTATTATTATTATTATTATTATTTAAATTCATCTATCTTCATTGTCTTACCTGTGTGTGGTGGTGGTTTGCTCCTTGCTCGTTGCATCCTGCCCTCGCTCGCTTGCCAGATTGCTCGCGAAGCCGAGGCAGCAATGTTTCACCGTCAGGTGTTTGAGGACCTACGTCGATCCACGCCGCACTGCAAAGACCCCGCCGAGGCCATCGCCATTGGCGCCGTCGAGGCCTCCTTTAAGAGTTTGGCCTCAGCCATCATTGTGCTCACGGGCTCCGGAAGGTAGGGCAATTGTCCTCGTCGGTTGCGGCACTCGTGTCGGCGATGAGAGGAAGGGTTAGGGCCAGACAGGAACTGGTGGAAACTTTGGGACAGGCTGGCAATCACATTCACAAATCTTCTGGTTGTTTTTTTTTCATATTAGTTGACCTTTTCAACATGATGTCACGTGTACTTCCAGGTAGCAGAAGCCCAGATGGTAAAGAAAACATAAAATGTATAAAAGTGACCAAGGTAAATGGCTTGAGTGATCATTGTAGTCATCTTCTCTCCCACTCAAGTTTGAATGGATGAAGGATGTTTTGTGAGGTAACCTAAATTGGAGGGGAAATTTTCGACAAAATTAACATGAACATTCTTTCCTGTTGTTTCACTTAATGGTACAGATGTGGTCTTTGAAAAGTGAAATTGATAATGCATTTATTCAAACAAAACTTGCAGTGATGATGGACACCAATGCAAGACATACATATATATATTTTTTTTTATAATGACACTGTTTGTTAGCTGGGCCTGAACCTTAATTGTACTTATTTGTTTTCCGAACTGGGCAGATGCTAGCTTTCATTAGCACTGACTAAAGTAGCCATGTTGGTTGGCAAGCTAGCCGTTATGTTTTGCTAAATTCATCAAAGAAACAAACAACAACCGTCTGTTCCTTTAGAAGTGGATATTATGCCACTAGGCAGTTTTGCTTTTACAACTATTTGACATTCACCCTTCACCCACAGGCTAAGATCTAGTTTTTTAAGGAACTTTGGCAGGGGAAAAAAAGAACGTAGCCTTTTGGGAACTATCTGGCACTGCAACCTCAAACAAGTTTTTTTGCATTCTGCCACCTGGAAGTACCTTGCCACTTATATAAATAGATATTTCTTTTTGCAAACCTTATGCAAAGGTCTATTTAAACACACGTAAGCTGATATATCAACCAGGAAGATTTGATGGGTTGATTTCAAGCCCTTCCCAGATGTGTGAATGATGTGTGTCTGTGATAGTAAGTAACCCCCACTCCTTCCTCAATTGGTTCCCCCCGGGGCTGGCTTAGATCGCCCGCGAGGCAGAAGCAGCCACTTTCCACAGGAAGCTGTTTGAGGAGCTGAGGCGACACTCCCACCTGACAAGAGATCCGTCCGAGGTGGCGGCTGTCGGAGCCGTGGAGTCGTCTTTCAAGTGCTGCGCTAGTGCAATTATTGTTCTCACCAAGACTGGGAGGTAAGACATGGGGCTGCTCCTTGTCATCTCTGGTAAGTACACTATATGAACTAGTTGTCCATATAGTGTGTGTGCGCGCGTGTGTGAGAATGAATGTGTGTTTTTGATTGCACCGTGATGTAGGTGAGAGAGGACAGCAAGTTCACGTTTGGATATTTGTGATTTAACGCACTCCTTGTGTTCTAAAATGCTGCTTTTCCACTGCAATTCGTTCACCAATCAACATGGCGCAAATCAGTATTGACGAAAGTCCCTGGTCGATGCCGTATGAGGCGTGTAAAACACTGCTGGTCGCTCATTGTAATAAATCGTAACAAATAAGCATAATCAGGCTAGTAATTACAAAATTAAACTTACCATGTTTCTGTGCCTTTTTAGCTCAGTATTTTATTTACCCCCCCCCCCCCGCCCCCCAAAAAAAGAATGAGACTCCACAGTTTCCACTTTGCTACCCACAGTCTCCTCTTGGATAAAATGTGTTTCTCCCGACCAAGAAGTTAATGCAGGCCACCATTGTCTGAAGCGTTCAGTGAAACTTGTTTTTCCTGGTTTCAAGCTTTCATACGATATTATTTTAAAGTGGAAAACTGAGGCATGTAGAACTGAGCCAGTGCTGTACAATGGAAAAGTGGCATTTTTTTATACTTACAATTTAACAATATTCCTAATTTTTTAAATATGCTGACCTGCAGTATATTTTATTGTTTTTTTTGTTTTGCAGGTCTGCCCACCTTATCTCCAGGTACAGGCCTCGCGCCCCCATCCTGGCCGTAACCCGTAACGCCCAGACTGCTCGCCAAGCTCACCTGTACCGTGGCATCTTTCCGGTCCTCTACACCACTCCCGCCCATGATGTCTGGGCCGAGGATGTCGACATGCGTGTCAACTTTGCCATGGATATGGGTAAAGCTTTGCTTTCATTTTGGTTATCCTTGAGATGCATTTCATATGCTAGCTATGCAAGAGTGGAACATAGTGGAGCCTGAAGCTCTGAGATACCATTCACATTGTCAGTATAAACTAGCACAGTAGCCTCGAACTGTTTTGAATGAAAATATTTACAGCAATTATGACTTTATTACTGCTTTAGTGGAGGTTAGTGTTAGACTATGGTGCGTTTCAATTTACAAATTCAGGTTATGTCAGTGCCGTAGGGACGAAAGTCGGTCATAAGTCAAGGACCAGCTGTAGTTTTGAATTAATTTCTGAAGCAGCCTGAATTGATTGCCCCATCAGTTGGTGTCATGAAATTCATGGGTGCCTAGGGCTGCACAATTTTGTGGTGGCGCTAGATATCTGAAGAAAAAGAGGCAAGTCATGGGAATAACTTGAAGGGAAAAAAACAGTTGTCATGGAGCATTGTTGCTTTTTCATTTGCCCCAAACAGTCCCACCCCACTCCGCCCCTTTGCTTTTCCATTACAACAGGCGTTGGACTGAACTGTACAAGCCTCTCGCAGCATGTGGGGTTCTGCCATCACATTTCACAGCCAGTCTCAGCTATCCTTTTTTTTTTTTCTTGCAAAAATTATTACCCAAGCTTCATCTATTAGTCCATATGACAGTCTCAAGATGCTTCACCGTTGTTGCAAAACACTCTTGTGTTTGTTGTATATGCTGTATTTTTATGACTTTGGTGACGGCTGGCTTGCAGCTCTGTCTTGCTGGTCCAAAACCAGGAAATGTGCATGTGCAGTGGAGTTCCTTGCTGCATAATATGTTTACAGTATATGAAATCTCGTCGTTTTCGTCAGGATGAGGCTAAAAAGTATTTTCCACAACAATATTTAAATGATCTCCGTGTGTCTTTTACTACGAACCATGATTTGTTAATTCCCATGGAAAGTTTCCAGAACCCTACTCAAGATTACCCAAAAAAGCTGTGTTGTGAATTCAGTTGTTCACATGCAGTACTCAAATGTCACAGCAAGTGGCGCCTTTGGATAGCGATAAGCCATGCAGCCCCACGTCACAAAGATATATTCTGGATGTTTCCTCACAGCTGGGTTGGCTCATTGTGTTGCATGTGCTTGTGTGTAAAATCCAGGCAAGGTGAGAGGCTTCTTCAAGGAGGGTGATGTCGTCATCGTCCTGACCGGCTGGCGTCCAGGCTCTGGTTTCACCAACACCATGCGTGTCGTTCTGGTTGCCTGAACAAGGGTCCATTCACTCCATCTCTGCCTGTTCTGTTGTTAACACTCCACCATTCTTTCCAACAGCTGCTGCGTGAACTACGAAACATTATAGGCAATCAAACAACAGTAATCGGAGACCAAAACCTCACGACAACCATTCCGTGTGGGCGTCAGTGGTAGTTTTGCAATTTTCACTTCCTGTGTCCATTCCTTTCATGAGATATTTCCCTCCAAGAAACCAGTCTTCAGAGAGCCAATCAGATAGACACGCCTCAAACAGAAGCTGCTGTATTTATTCACTCGAGATGCTTGTATTAAACGATATCCTCCCAACCTATTGGCAGATCCTCATGCTTGCGCGTCGCCACACTTGTTTGGGTGGCGCCGCATGAACATGAGCACCCTCTTCTTAAAGAAACGTTTCTGGCCGAATAAGCGAACAAAATGGCGTCCTGCCACGCCACCCAATACAGATCATCGTGTCAGTGTGTGGAAGAAGCGTCTTTTATGCTTTCACTGTGTGTAGCACGCCTAAGCTTACTCTTCAATGTGTTACAGTCTATTGTACTTGACTATTATGGTGTTTGGGTTTGGGAATTTCAGTTGTATTTTATCTAACTCTTGAGAGTATGGATGTCTGCTGTCGGAACTGGTTACTGTATTTAAGTTAGATGTGTCATGGAGTCTCTCGCATCTAGTTGATCATATGTCTAAATTGGCACTTAAAGTCTCACTTAAAAAAAGAATTAAAATGGCACTTTGAAGCGGGTTGCGATGTTGGCCTCAGTGGATGATGGGTAACAAAAGTGAGGAACTTTTGTTTGTTTGGTTTTTTTTTGCTCCAAGTTGTCGTTGCCTGGCAAGCTTTTCATTGTTACACTGAGCGATGTGAGTGTGAAGAGGTCATATGTTGCTGGTTGTTGTCACCAGACAGGATTTCATCAATAAAAAGGCAAGTACCAAAACAATTTTTTTGTAAGTACTTTATTTTCATAAGACTCTCTCATTTTTTTTCCCCCAAATCATCCAAGGAAAAAAAGGTCTTTAAAAGGGTAAACTTCATTTTGAAAGCAAGATTTTCACCCCAAAAATAAAGCTTTCCAAAAAAGAAAATTCAGTCATACACCACTCCAACTTGTTTCAGAATGTCCTCTTTGAGTTCAGCCAGCAGCAGAGAGTCCGCATGAGACATAATGGGACACTCCTTCATTCCTGCAGTGGAGAAAAGATGGCACGTTTGTTTTGATGGGCAGTCATCAACCAACAAGCTGCTGTGTTACTGATACTCAGGCAGATAAGGTTGTAAAGGGAGGAATGAGTTCTGGTATTTGTTGGGGGGGTTATTTTGTTCTTATTTGAATTTAAAAAAAAAAAGTATTCTCTCTCTCTCTCTCTCTCTCTCTCTATATATATATATATATATATATATATATATATTTTTTTTTTTTTTAAATCTAAAAACTTAGTCGAATAATGTTGCTGCGTAACTTCTGTGTTAAGCACTTTTTTTCAGTTATTCTTCTGGGCAAGGCATTGTTCACATTGCACAATGCTTCCTGAGAATAGATTACTCAATAATGGTCTGTGTTTTGGTTTCATTTGTGTTCTGTTTTAATACACAGGATAACTTTAACCAACACCTCGAGTCTTGTAGTCTTGCCACATGGAGTGGACTCGTAGTTGGCCGTTTCCTGATCTGATTTTAATTTTGGCAAAGTCTTCTGACTACGATAAACATGCATTTCATCAGCAGGAGTTGGTCAGCTGAGTTTGCTTGAAATGCCCCACGTTAAAATTTATATTCCTTGAAATGCTACCAGGTCCACATTTTTGGGATAACAACAAAAAAAAAAAAATCCTCTCAAAATGTGTACATATTTACTTAACACTCTACTAAAAACTATCTTTTTGAGCTATTCCCATAAATTACATGTAAGGCTCATGTACAGAACTCACTCACAACCCTTGCTTTGTCATCTGCGATATAGTACCTTTGAGCAAACACTGTCGGACCTCCTCCGCCTCGTAGCGCAACCCCGTGCTATGAACAAAGTTGAGGGGCAAGTGAGGGTCCGGGAGAGGGTACTTGGTCTCCTTCCCATTTACCACCATGACTTCGGGACACCACATGTGAGATGGGAACTGAGCAAGAGAGTCACACGGAAATAAAATCAAGGTATTTAAAAACAAAAGAATGCTTAACACCAGTCTCTGTGAGTGGTGACAAGTGTGGCTTTGCGTAACCTGAGAGACATTTATAGAGAACAGGAAGGCGGTTGCATGCAAGTTGGCACAAGTACAATCATTGTAACATACCCGGATTAACCCCTTGGTGCCCACCACAATGGCATCGTTGTGGAGCTGCAGGCCCGAGGAGCTGGTAAACACGGCCATCCGGTTGTTGGAATACTTGAGCGTGACCACCAAGGTCTCATCCACTCCTGGAAATAACATTCACATATGAAAAAATGTGTTGCACAATTAGAATGTTTTTGTTTTTTTTTTCATTACCAGTAGGCAGAATGACTCCTTCGGTTTTGATGCTCACTGGCCTCTCTCCACCGTACACCATTGAGGTGAACTGCAGCGGGTAGAGGCCAATATCCAGCAGCGCTCCTCCGCCAAGTTCCTTGAGCTCCAGTCTCGGCAGAGGCAGCACAGACAGGCCAAACTCCGACCGGACCATCCTCACATCACCGATCTCTCCCTGGGCGAGCAGCCTCCGGAGCTCTCGGTAGGCTGGGAAAAATCGAGCCCAAATGGCCTGGAAAAGATTCATTCAAGTACGGTAAGGGAAGTCTTTTTGATTTGTGGGGGGGGGGGAACTTCACCTCAGTGAGCATCTGAAAGAAAGACCAAAGTTAAATATTTTATCTCGGGCCGTTGTGCAGCTTGAGCGTCTCCCAGATGACTTGGGGTGAGAAGCTTTCAAACTTAGCAGGTAAACTTTATCTGTTTTTTTTTTTTTTTTTTTTTTATGGCAGCGCGGGCACCCGCAGCGGCTCCTCTCTCTCCTGTGGTTAAGAGGAAAGCAATTTCATCTGTGCTGTATGTTGCACATGGAGCACATTTGATAAGAAAGTTGACTTGAACTTGAACTTAGCTTGTAGCCGACGTCACATCATGCACGTTTTGCGCATGACGTCTCAGATCTTCATACTTAACATGAACCTCTAGGGCAGGGGTCTCAGAGTCTCAGCCCATAAATGCACAGACAAAGTTGTGCTGCTCAAAAATCAGTTTGAGTTTTAGACTCCTGCTCAAAGGAATTCAAATAATTACTCCTTATCCTCTTTTACACTGCCTGTAAAACCCTTTCTTGCCTTTTTTCTATGTTGCTGTTCTGTTTATATGCGCAGACAGTTTTGACATTGTGGTATTTCAGTCATATTATGGTTGACCTTATTTAAAAAAAGTTTAACTTTAGTGGTCTCGCTGTGTCACCCTGCTCTTCAATTACCTCCATGAGGAAGACGTTGTTCTTCTTGGCACAAGCCAGGATCTCCTTCACCTCCTTGGGTGTCATGGCCAGGGACTTCTCACACAGGACAGGTTTTTTGGCATTAAGAAAGAGCAAACAGGAGCTCAGGTGGTTGGTCTGAATGGTGCCGATGTACACCACATCTGCACACACAGACAACTCATAGGAGCGCGTGCAGACAAACCACAAGATAGATCGAGCGGGCCTGAGCACTGACCGATGTTGGGATCTCTGGCCAGCTCTTCGTAGCTGCCGTACGCTCGAGGGATGTTATGTGTTTTTCCAAACTTCTTGGCATCCTCTAAGCTGCGGGCAGCCACAGCCACAGCCTGTCAATGAAAATCAAAATGTACTTCAAATCCATTCGTCCATTTCCTGTTGGGGATTGGACTCTCAAAAGGGGCGCGAGCAGATTTTGGGGTTTTCATTCATAGTAAAATGTTATCTAGTTACAAAATAAAAAATAATAATCATAATAATTAAACACTGCTCCAAACCAACCTTTACAAGCAAACTCAGACGATAATAATGGTGATCTTCAGCTCAATTGGTTGGGAACACGTCTGGCTAGAGTTTCAAACCTAAATCTTTTCTGCCGTGAGGCAGATAAACTGGCTGTCTTCCAATCTAATTAGAACAATAAATAATTGAACTTTGCTTAGCACCGCTTTCATCTTCCATATGTTGTATGTAGTAAGACATGCATTCTCCATTAGTTAGATTTCAATCCAGTCCAAACATCAGCCTGTGCAGTCCTACACTTTGTAGTATCATTCGGAATCGTTTTTCAATTTTCTTTTATTTATGTTTTATATGATTGATTTCAATTCCAGTAACATTTGATATATTGTGCATGTATAAAACTTAACAAATGTATTTGACGAGCATCCAATGCATGTTGCATGCCAATGATGATATACGTTACAGAGACATAAAACAATAGTTTCCGTAAATGCACCAATATGTAGAAGCTTATTGTTTTAGTGGTATATTGTATTTGCTCTTGTCATCCATAAATTTTACATTTATTTTTCACCCCCCCCCCAACAAATAGTTAAAAAAACATTACTATTAATTTACAGCATTAATACTTAAAACATGGGACTTTGTGTTGACCCATAAGGGCGAGACACTCACCAGAAACCTGCACCCTTAAAGGAGGGGTGGGAGAATGACGTTTCTTGGGAATAGAGATGAAAGGGCAGTAGCTTCATGCTTGCAATGTGAGCAGTTTTGTGTGGAGAGTCAAAGAGGCAGGACTAGCACTCGTCTCGTCGTTCAGCGCATCTCCACAATTTACATTGCCGCAATTGATTTAAGTGGCCAAGAACTCACTCAGACTGACAGAGTCCGCCTGGAAGCACTTCACGATGCTATCATCTCGTTTTTATGACTAGCCCAACACATTTGTTGAGCACCAAATATCAAATACTTTCTTTCACCCCCCCCCCCCAAAAAAATCGGATTATATCGGGTAGTGTTTTTGCATTTATTTCAATGATGAAGGGTTTTTTAAACCCCTCTTAAAAAGTTTTTTTTTTTTTGCTTCAGATGAAGCAAATGAAGCACACGGACAATAGTCTAAACTCCCACTTAGTATTGTCAACTCTCACTCAGCTCAACTGTATTTTTAGACCACTTTAAAACAACCACCGTTGTCTGCAAAGTGCTGTACATGGAGCAAAAAAAAAGAGTCATACAAGAACATACGATTAAAAAAAAAACTAAATTAATAACGAAACTATAAATTAGCCCCATCCGCTGATGTTTCTGAGCATCTCACGGTTGGATTGATACCTGGTGGTCCTCGGGTGGCAGCGTTTTTAGGGCCACCATGAAGTCGTGACTGATCTTCCCGGCGCTGCAGATTCCCCACCTGGTTGCCATTTTCGCGAGTGTGTGAGTGGATCGGAGGGCAGCCGACGACTGTTAAAAAGTCAGACTTGTGAGCGAGAGTGTGTGTGCGTGTGTCCTCGAGTCAGGCGCAACAGGAAATTCCTGCCGCCCTTGAATGTGCTCTTGTTTCATTCGATGCAATTGGCTCTCTCATTGCAAACGTCAGGAAGTGTCACATTTCAAATTCATTTTATCATCATCATCATGTGTTCTTTGGGTTTTTTCCACTGGTACTCCGAATGCAGTTTGTGCATTTTGTAGGATGATTGACAGTGCACTCACATGGGGAAGTCAAGCACACACGCACTATACGTTAAAAGGTGAACGGGTTTCTACATTTACCCCCCC